AAAATACCCAGAATTCTACTTACGTGTAATTTTCTCTGAAGGCCACAGCTTGGTTAGGTGGTAGTAACTGACCTGGAGACTGATCCAGCCCTTCCTAGCTAACGATACCCATTCCAACCACCACAGGGTCATTTTATATTCCATCCAGCTGAGTCCATAGCCCAGGAAGAGGGTACCCGAATCCCATCCATTGCAAGCCTAATGTTACTTCCCTGTGCCCTCACTATCCCATGCATATGGCAGAGGTGCCAACCTCTGCCCACATATGCAAGTGGACGGCAGATGACACTCTCTCACAACCTGTCCTGGTCATGTGTGTGTGCACAGGTATAAACATGCAACTCTTCACTGCAGAATTCTCTCATGCTGAGCCTGAAGCCCAAGTTCTTAAAGATTTGTTTGTGGCAATGTAGTAGAAGTTAATGATAAAGAAACTGTAATTTTAGCTGAACTGTATTCATTTCTTGCCTGGCTGAGAAGGGAGGAGTCCTTGCCAAAGGTAGAATGTAAACTTATAATTTAGGATACGTTTATTTGAAAACCAGGTGGACAGCACCCTCAGCCGTATTAATCCGTCTCCTCTTTCCTCTTGGTGTTCCAGGCCAGCTCTGAACAATCTCAGAGAAGACATTATTTCATTGTTGGGTGGCTTAAGCTAGGAATGCACACAGGAATTTCACTGCTCTGCATGAAATTTGTCCCACAGAACTTGGGAGTCCTATATAGGTAGCCCTGCTTGTGAATTGCCCCCCAGGAACATGTCACCCTTACTCTTCAGCAACAGCCACATCATTAAAAACATTGTTCTCACACCTCCTGGGTCTACTCTGGCCCATCTGAGTATGACCTTAGCCCGTAACTACAGGCCCCAGCTGCAAGGCGCAGTAATAGACAGGCAGCAGTGAACCTCACTCAAACTCTTGGCATCCAGAAGTCTCGAAGACAGCAAGAAGCAGGGCTCCGCTGCATCATCCAGCTGCAGCCCCAGCAGCCCAAAGGTACAGGTCATCCTCTGTTCTCTGAGTTCTACTTCTTCCATCTGGAAAAGGAACCATAGAAGGTAGAAGGCAGTGGGAACTAAGGCCTCAGGAGAGAGAAATCTGAAGACTCTAATGGGTAGTTTCTTTGTCATGGACTCTCCAGCAGCCCAATGACATGCCCCTGTGATACAATACAGGAAGAAAATGGGACCTGGCTTTCTTCCAGAGGCTTGAATGACCAGGGATTCTAGCACAGCATGGACATTTCCACAGAGGCACATGAAGTCCTGGAGTCAGGCAAACGGCAACCTTGAAACTGGCAAAAGGTAGACTAGAGCAGTGGCTCAAGAAGCTCTGAGGAGTCAGCCAAGGAGCAAGCCATGTTAGAATGCCAGAAACAGACACGCCCAGGGCCTACTCGAGGAGCACCAGCAGAAGGGATTCCCTGATGAATGAGTAGCACCTGAACACCAGCCTGCAGTCAGCACTGCACTAAGCCCTGTGGAGAACACCAAAGTGATCAGCCAGTCTCTGTCACTCAGGAGCTTAGCACCCGGATGGAAAAACAAGGCTGACCACATGAACGGCACTAACTACCATCTCAAGAGTGATAATAGCCCTGACTTGAATTGATATAGAACAAGAAAATGGCATAATGGCTCACGCCTGTAATCCCAGCACTTTGATAGGCTAAGACAGGCAGATCACCTGAGGTCAGGAGTTCGAGATCACCCTGGCCAACATGGTGAAACCTTGTCTCTACTAAAAATACAAAAAATTGGCCTGGCGTGGTGGCAGGCACCTGTAATCCCAGCTACTCGGGAGGCTGAGGCAGGAGAATCACTTGAACCTAGGAGGTGGAGGTTGCAGTGAGCCGAGATTGCATCACTGCACTCCAGCCTAAGCAGCAAGAGCAAAATTCCATGAATGAAAGAAAGAGAGAGAGAGAGAGAGAGAGAGAGAGAGAGAGAGAGAGAGAGAGAGAAGAAGGAAGGAAGGAAGGAAGGAAGGAAGGAAGGAAGGAAGGAAGGAAGGAAGGAAGGAAGGAAGGAGGGAAATGGAGATATGGAGATGGCGCAGATGATGAGGGCTGAGTGAAGGAAATGAGGTCTGAGCTCAGTCTTCGAGAAAGGAGAGGAGAGAGGACATGGAGGGAATAAGAGACTACCAGCCAGGAAAGCTGCTGCTCTGAAATTTGCTGAGGTCAAGGGGTTGTTCTGTATAGCACCTGGCCCCAAGTGGGCATTCCCTAAAGATGTATGCCAACTGAACATGCAGAAGTGGCAAGGAGGTGACCAGGCTGGTCAGTGTGTGGTACGAGGAAACAGGCTTCTGTGTTTAGAACAGAACTGTGTTGGGGGAGAATGAGGAAATAGGTCCAGTCCCTCCAAATTAACCCCCAGCTCACCCCATTGGTGGGTATGCAAATGGAGTGAGTTGGGGGTTAATTTGGAGGGAGGCAGTAAAAAGCAGGTCTGGGTGGAAGGAGAAAGCACCTCTCTCAGCTGAAACAAAACCGAAGCAGAGGGCACAGAAGCGAGGGTTGGGGAGAGGAAAGAGGCCCTCGAAGGGGTGTGGGGGCCTGGGCTTCTGCGTTGGGCCTGCAGATGGATAGGCTGGGGGTGGGGGAGGAGACTGGGCCCTGGAGCCACAGCTGGAGGGCTCTAGGGGGTTTATTCTGGTACCCATTCGACCCCCAGACCTCCCATTCCCGGACCTCTCCACACAGAGCTCTCCACACCAACACAAAAGGGCCTTGTGTGATATTACTGGAGATGCCCAGTGCAGCTTTATCTCACTGCCCCCACCCTTCCCCAGAGCCTTGGCATGCACATTGCTCCAGCAGGTGCAGGGGATAGGAAGAGAAAGACTGGGGACCAGACAGGGGCCAGAGGTCAGATGGAAACATCCCTCCCTCCCCTCCTACCCTCCGCCCAGCCTCTTTCACAGCCTTCTATCCCAACCCCTCCCTTCTCTGTTTCTCTCCTCTTCTTCTCACTGTCCCTCCCCTCGCTGGGCTTCAGAGTGTTATGGACAGCCTAGAGACAGATCCGGATTTATTCTTGGAAAACACGTCCATGGCAGAGGGTACCACAGCAACCAAGTTTCCATGGCGCTTGGACACAAGGCAAATATGGCATAGAGGAGAGATTCCTGGACTCCAAGTCAGAAGACCTGGGTCCTGTCCCTGCCTCTCCTCACCACCAGTGGCATCCTTAAGCAAGTTGCATAACCTCCCTAAGCCTCGCGTTTGTTGTAAATGTCCAACCATTTAATCAGCAGTCCGAACCCACCAACATGTGCCAAGCACCTATTGGGAGCTGAGCACTTTACTAGATGCAAGACAAGTAACACAAACATGGTTCTTGCCCTCACAGAACGTACAGCTAAGAGACAACAGGGTTGCTCGGAAGAATAAGTGAGCTAAGAGGTTAGTATGGCAGCCAGTCCACAGCAAGTGCTCAAGAGGTGCTGTGCACATGAGGTCTACCAGAACCCCAGTGAGGAGAGTGTACTCGGACCTCTATCTACCCTGTGGGATGGGGCTGCAATGGCTCTGGCTAGAATTAGAGGGTTGCGCTGAACCTCTGACCTTGTCTGCAGCCCAGTGTCCATTCTCAGTCGTTAAAGACCAGGGGAAAATATGAGATAGAGGATAAAGAGGACTGCCCGACCCGGGGAGACCCAGCTGTTGAGATTTGGGTGTGTGCATGAGAAGGGTATGTTCCTGGAGGCAGGGTAGGAGGGATAAACATAATGACGGGACCTGTTTGGGAAAGGTGAGTTGATCCAGAGTAGTGCCTGGGGAGGGCTTAGAAGCTGGACTCCCTCCCCACACCCTTTCTAGGAAAGCAACTTTGAAAAGCAGAGCCTATGCCTTGGTGGTGGGCACAGCTGCCAGGGAAGCCTGGGGCAGTGGGGGACATGTGGGAGGAGGCCAGTTGAGGCACTGAAAGAGAGTCTCATGCGGAATCCGGGACAATGAGCTGATGGAAGGGGGAATGGAGGGGACGGAGGGGCTGGCTCTGCTAGGGCTGCTCTCCTGGCAGCTTCCCAAGGTTAATTGAGGGGCACTGAGCAGCCTCTGCGACATTCCAACAAGAGGGAGGCTGGTTTGAAAAGAGCATTTGCTGTAAGGAGAAGGGGCCTTTCTCTGCCGCGGGCTGCCGTCCCTTTGTGGAGTTTCTTTGAGGCATGAGCCCTGTGAAAAAGCCGTGATCGAGGAGGGGCTCGGGGCGGGGGGGTGGGGGGGTGGGGGGGGTGGATGGTTCACCATTCATCATCCAGGCCAACGGGTTGCTCTTGGCAGAGAAGAAGAGGTCAGTGGCTGGTTCAGCCACACTTGGCCCTGAGATGATGGTAGCTGGGAAATCTCTGTACACGGAATTCCACCGAGTTTGACTCTAACATGAATTACGGACATTTAGAGAAGGACATGAAGGAAGAGAAGGGGAGGAGGCTGAGTATCAACTGAAGGACAGGCAGTACCCTTGGGGGGATCAGGAGTTGGCAGTGTAGAAGAAAATGTTGACAATTTTTCAGAGCCCTGCGTCTAGGTTGAAGGGTTTGGCATAATCGGAATGCCCAGGCTTTTACCATATGGTGTGTTAACACAACTAAAACCCACATGTTTCTGCAAACACACACACACAAGCAACGAGCTGCACACACAGCCCTTGTAGGAACACACACGCATATGTAAAATCACGTGTACAGAGGTCCACACAGCAATGTGGACCCTCCTGCGCACACACTTACACGCAGAATCTCTTCAGATAACCACACGTATGTGATGTACACCGTCTGCCCCTCTAGGGCTGCTCATATGTGCAAGTGTGTGCGGCATCCTCACGCATCACGAGGCTAACGTAGGCTGTGCAGGTAGGACGCGTGAACACGTGTCCAGGTGGGCCTCGTGCTCTCCCACACCAGAATTCCTGGCGTGGACGTCCCCAGAACACTCTCCTCGTGTTGCGTAAGTCGGGCACCATGGAGACTTGTTCTCCTGAAAGCCGCCCTTTCCACCCCTGCCCCGGGCCCCGCGTCCAGGCTGCCCGTGCCTCAAGCAGTCCTAGCCTCTGGGGCACCCGGCTCCCGCCCGCACGGGCCGCAGGCTCTAGGGAACCTCCGCCAGCAGGTGGCGCCGGCAGGAGCCTCGCGCAGACCAGACGGGCAGAAGTAGGACGCATCCGCGTCTCAGCGCGGAAATGCGGCCGTGCCGGCGGGCTCCTAACCCCCCTTACTGTGCCGGGACCGAGCCCCGGAATGATCTACCAAGATCACCAGACCGAAGAAAGCCACTCCCGAGAGAAGACAGAAAGGACAAGACCCCGCCCTTCCTTCCCGGAAGGAAACGGGAAGCGGAAGATCAGGGACGGGAATGTGGAGGGGCGCAAGGAGCCCCTTCTGCAGGGTCCGCCGAGGGCCCGGGTGTGTGTGCTGGAGATCTGTGTGCACCTGGGGCAGGGTCCGCATGAGCAGGTGAGCGCTGCACTATAATTCGGGGGCTACCTGTGTGTCAGTGGATATGGAAGAAGGAGGTGTGAAAAGCTTTGAGGACAAAGATGTGTGTGTGTTTGCACACGCGTGTGTGTGTGCATATGTCCATGCGCGTCTGCGCATACTACTGCGTACAGGGTGACTCAGGGAAAAGGTAAAGATGAAGCCAAGCAAACCAGACCTCACAACCGCAGCAGGACCAGCACCCCACAAACCAGTCGTTAGCCACCTCCACACACTCCCCACACCATGCACACTCCAGGGACACACACTCGCACACCACCCACACAGACAGGTGCTGTGCCACCCCATAGAGACCTACCACCCACACATTTTCTCACATACACGCAGGCCGGTAGAGGACCTAGAGATACATATAGATAGAGCAATGGCACAGTGGCTGTGTGTGCACTCGCACACATGCTGCGCTGTACCTGTAGATCCTTAGTGCCCCTACACACCCAAGAAAGGGAAAGAGAGAGGTTCAGGGCAGAGAGATGACTCCCATCCTGTAAAGCACCCTGGTTTCTGAGCCTGTGGTGATTGGAAAGACATGTAGCATCAAAAAGCCCCTTGTCTGAGGATAGGGGCACAGGGGAGCAAACAGAGAGTCTTCTATCCATACACCTGTGTGCCCCAGGCTGGGGGCAGTGGTGGTTCAGCCGAGTCCCTCAGCACTGTGGACAGCGCCTCCAAAGCCTGGCAGCGAAGTCCAGAGCAGTACTCAGAGGTGCAGGACACCAGAGGACGCTTACCTACATCCAGAAGACCCACTAAGTCAGATACATTCATGTCCAGCTCTGTTGACCTGGGAGTCTTATAAACAATACCTACCTCTCAGGACTGTCAGGAAGATCAAATGACTGGAGACCATACACCACCCAGCACTGTTCTGGACGTGTGATAGAGTACACTCGATATTGCTAACAACTGCTCTGGCTCCCAGTGCCAGGCACTTCCAGGCCAGGAGGTGAATAGTGTGTGCAAAGCATATTGATTTCCTTGTTGACACAGCATTGCCATGTTGTGGTACTATGAACCAGGAGGTCTGAGTTAAGCCCCAGTCTTGCCAAATTTCTGAGCAGGTTACTTACCCCATCTGAGTCTCCATTTCCCGTCCACTAACCTGGACTAATCACAATAACGATACCAACTTAAACTGAGTTTCCTGAATGCCAACCCCTGTTATAAGCACTTTACAAAGATTAAATCCTTGAATCCTTATGACATCAGATGGAATGATCTGTTACTATCCTCATTGTATAGAATAAACGAAAGCACTTGCCTAAGATCACACCAGTGGTAGGGGTAGAAACTGGATTGGAACCCAGGAAGCCCGCCTCCAGAATCTGTATTCTCAGCCATGACACTGTGCGACCTCCTTCGTGGCATGCCGTGTGCATCCAATGACGTCATGAGTATAAAAGGAGCTTGAGGGCTGCACAGCATTATCCGAATGTTAGGGTATATTGTTATGCATCCCAGCCTGGCTCATGTATGAGTAATTGTGCAAGGAGTGAGAGCCGAAATGAATACAGGAAACCGGGTGGGGACGGGTGCCATCTGGGACTGGCACATCACACCGAGAAAGGAGAAATGGGTAGAAGACCGGCCAAGAGGGGCGGGCAGCCATGTGCACCCTTGCATGACTTTTGGCTCTCTTTTTAGTCAGTCTATGACTAGCTAAGAGATCAAAATAGTTTCTAGAAAATCAAGAAAATAATTTAAAGTCACCCTGAATTCCTTCTAATCCTTCTATTAATTATAACCTTTGTCTTGCCTGACATCTCTCTTCTCCTTCCAACCCCTAAAGCTGTATTCAGTCCATTTATCCCTCTGCTCCTCCCATCCTCACCCATCAACCACCTTCCCTCATGTAGAACCCGTCGCCTGGTCTGTGGCCTGAGAATCACTATGCCAGGAGAACCAGTGCTAAGTCGGTTCATCCTAGGACAGGTCCCAGAAGGACAGTCAGGAAGCCTCTGTGGATTCAAGAAGTTACTTCTGATGTTTCAAAGAGTAAGATGTGGAGACTGGGAACTTCTTTGCAGATTACTTTAGGCAAAGGAGACCTCTGGACGCTCCATCCCCGACCAGCCTCATCCTATAACCTGCTGCTTTCTGTTGAAGGTTCTCTGATGCTCTGAATTGAACCATTTCACTTACATGAGCACAAACCCCATCTTTTTGGAAGCCCAATACATCTCGTGCTTACACAGCTACTGTCCAGGGCAGAACAGTCACTGGCCAGGGACGGAGGGGCTTCCAGACCCTCACACTGCCCCATGTCTTCCTTTTCTATGCTGTCCCTGTCTTCCTTTTCTTCCCAGAATCCGGGGCAGTCTTCCCAGCCCTGAGCTGGCCCCCCTTCCTTGCCCTCCTTGCTGATGAATCTGTTAGGCAGAGTTCTTTCCTTGTGCTCCTCACGGCGGCAAATGATTTCAGCATTTAACAGCAATGGCTGTGAATCTGTCACCATTAGCGGTCAGTGAAGGCACCCAAGCACTCCGCTCTCTGTTTTGTTCTTGCTCCTTTTCTGTCTCCTATCATGTTCCTCTCCTGCTTCCTGAACCCCATCCCCCCTCCATGACTCCACCACTGCCTAAGAAAGATGCAGCCACTTCTCTTCCAAAGCCCATGGAACAAGAGTCTTAAGGAGCCTCAGAACAGCCCGGGTTTTCAAGAATGGTCATTCAGTCCTTCCCTCTTCACTCACAGCGGGGACGGCCCCACTTCTGTCTTCACCTGCCACAGGCAGGCGGGATGCCAGGCACTCAGGCTTCCCTGAAGCAGCCCCTGCCCTGAGCTGGTACTGCCTGCTTCCCGACATCTCTCTTTGCTTTCCGCCCCCTCAAGCTGTTTCTGTTTCCCCAAACCAGGCTCATGGGCCACCTGCATTAGGATCACCTGGAGCACATGATAAGAACAGCCTCAGATCTCCCCAGACTTGCTGAGTCAGCCTGGAAGCCGGGCCTGAGAGTGGTGCCTCTGCAGAGCCCCCGGGGCTCAGGCACTGCTTGGGGAGCCACTGTCTTTGTAGGAGAAGGGACCATCCTCCAAACCACTCACCTTCTCTCCAGATGAGCAGGGGTCCTCATACACACACAGTCTCTGTGACCTGTTGCTAGAGGACCCCTGTGCTGGCTGAGCTGGGCCTGGACTGTGAGCCTGGCTCTGCCACTCACTTACCTTGCACATGTGCCTCCATTTGCGCAGCCACAAAATGGGGCTTGATACTTGTTCTCTCATCTCATGATTATGATGTATGGTTCAAAGGAGAAAAGAAAACTGGAAATCTGCTGAAAGGCAAGTTGAATAAATGAAGTGTCATTCTGTTATCATGTAAGAGATGCCTGGTGGTGAAAGACACAGTGTCCGTCAGAAGATGCTGTTCCCATCACACCTGTAGACCAGCAAACAAGCAAGCAGCGTGGCCACCACCTCACCACTCCCTGAGGGCTTTTTCTCAAAGCTTGTTCTAAGCCCAGGAAAGGAAAGGAGGCTGGGCATCAGGCACTCACAGGAAGAGTCCCAGAACCTGCTGAATGAGGCTCTACTTCGCGCATGCTGCCCCCATCTGCCCACAGGCCTGCAGCCCCTACCAACAGCAGTGGGCCCAACCTTCTGCATCAGCTCCTCTCCCTCTAATTACTCCTCACACACTCTGGCGCCAGGCCCTCCAACCAAATTACAATTGATTCTTCACTCCTCTTGGATCAATGCCATCGACCCTGGAACAGGGAGGACAAACCCAAACTCACCCTCTGGGAACCAATGGCCCAAGGCAAAGCCCAGCAACAGTCCTGCCCATGCAAACTTGGAATGTACATGCACACGTGTGTGCTCACACACACACACATTCATCCCCTTGCCCAAGAAGCATATGGATCAGTGTGTGCACAAAATGCACTGGGCCGCACATGGGTATCCACATGTAGACACATACACAGTTTGATATAGGCAGACACTTTCATTCACATCTACATGCATGTACACAAAAAGCACACATGCCCACTTATACACAGAGGTAACATTGGCTAGAGAAGAGGACACTCTGAGGCTCACAGGAAGCATGTTCCAGCCAAGTGAGGAGCTGGATTCTTGCCCATCCCAGCCCCCTCCCCACGTCCCCTCCTAGCTCCACGTGTGAGCACGCCCACCATCAGTTATGTGGGCGCCCACCACAGCAGCCCTGTGACATATACCTCCGAGCAGAAGCTCCTCTGCTCTTGTGGAGGCCTGCAGCGTGCCCTCCTCTGCAGTGGGCCCTGCCTCCTCATCCCTTTGGGGTTTGGAGAAGTGCCTAGCTGCTTCTTCACCAGACAGAGCCCATTATAACCCAGCTGGGCTCTCTCTGCACCTCAGGCCTCAGAGGAGCTTGGAGCGCGTCTGCACCTGAGACCCCAAACTATTGGAAGGAGGTGCCAATCCCTACAGATGCCAACACAGAGTGACAACCACCAGCTCACTCCCCTGCCACACAGAATGGGAACATGAATGCCAAGTATAGAGGAGAGAGGAGACAGAGTGGGACCAGCCATCCAATAGGGCCCAAGCAGATACCCAGGGCCTCTGATTCCACTGCCCCTTTCCTGTGGCCAAGTTCTCTACTCTATGCCAATGCCCAGTGACCTCCTGCCAGGCCCATCTCTAGGTTAAGTCACAGAAACACAGAACATCAGAAGGAAAAAAGCCCTGGGAGATTCTCACTTCCCTCCTGGCCACATTCTCTTGGTCCCTAACTTTCCTTAATGACATTCTCAGCAGGGGACTGTCCCCCACACCGAACATACAGTGAGCCAGGACACCGTGGGAAGCAGAGGGCACTCATCACACAGCCGGTTCTCTGCCAAACCACTCTAAAATTCTCCCTAAACAGAGTAAAATCTCCCTCCTCAGAATGTTCCCCAGTTGGCATGAAGTGGAAGAAAAGCCATTTCCATAATAAATGGTTGGTCTGCAGCTTGTCTGAAAGAAGCACCACTGTTTCGAATTTTCACTCATAGTTCTCAGGGTGAGGCTCTGCAGAGGCTGAGGGCAAGACCTGGGGGTGATCTGACCCTCCGAAGGAGGTGAAGGGCATCGTAACCTCCCCTATGCAAAAGGAAGAGCTTGAAAAAGTCAGATACCTGTCAATCTATGGAAGAAGACTTATTTGAATTTTGTCTCTAATTTTGTCTACTTATTTCCCTTTATCATACTAATATACTACTAATATTCCTACTGAGTTCTTGGCCTCCGCTTCCCGGCAAAGAAGCTGCATTGGCAGGCTTCCAGCAGCTGAAGAAAGATGTGTATGGTCTGAGGAGGGCATCTTCAGTGCTGTGGGTGCCCCAGAATCAGAAGCCTGGCACATAAAGCAGAAGCTTCTGTCCTCATGGTCTCCACGTATGTGGTCTGAACCTTCTCTGTGTACCCTATTTCCTGTCCTGTATCACACAGAGCTTTCCCAATACCCTTGAAGGCTTAAGGACCATCGGCTCAGTCCCCCAGACCCCCAGACCCCACCAGTTATAGCTGCGTGGACTGAGAGGGATTTGCCATTTGGAGATCCCTTGAAGGCCAGAGTAGTGGGAAGAAGAAGTCTGTGGGAGACCCCTGTGGCTGGCTCTGTCATCCACTATCGTATGCCCACCACCCCACCATTGACGCAGAAAGGTTGGAAAGCATTTCCCAAAACACCTTGCACTATGTTTCTGGGTGTGGGTTAGATGCCACCAAACATGTGCACTTGCACAAGATTTGGCAGACAAACGGGGGAGATGGTGTCTTCCTGCAGCCCTGGCTGTTGGTGGTTATCAATATCATGGCAGGCTAGCAGGAGTTTCCAGTATTCATTCTTCATTTTCCAAGATTCACAACGTTAGCCTGCACAACCTCCATCTGGTGAGCTGCTCCCTGAATTCCACTCTCTTCTCCCATCTCCAGGTCTCCAGAGGCCTCTCTGGGGCCAGTGGCAGCTCTGATGTCCAAGCGTATACCCTCGATGGTGCCTCTGAGTCACAGCTTCACTAATTCTGTCCTGTTCTGGGAGCCACTGTAGAAGCCTCAATCCTGAATCTGATTGTGTAAGCCCCCAAATTCCTGGACTCAATCCCTTTTGGCTTGAAGTACGTAGACTGGAGACTTTTTCCTTTACTGAATCTTGACATACAAGATGCAAGTTGAGTTAAGAACAGTTATGGTGTCAACTTCATTCAACAGACATTTAATGAGTGCAAACTATTTCACCTGGCACTGTACCCAGCACAGCGACCTCATGCAAGCTGGTGCACCATGTCCTGACATGGTGGTGAAAGGTAGGCCAAGGGGATCCATGCCCAGTCTTCACCCAGTCAGCCCAGCTCAAGGGAGTGATGTGAGTGGGAATACGGCAGCCCTGGCTTCAGACAGGCAGGGTTGAGTCCCGTCCAGTTCCAGTGCTCACCCCAGATGCAGGTGGTCAGCCAACCCTCTCTCTAGGGCTCAGCTGCTTTGCTTCACTCCCACCACACCTCCTCCCCTTTGCACTTTCATCCCTCATCCTTCAGACTCAGGGTATGTGCTCTCCTCTGGAGGTCTTCCTGGCCCTCCTCCCTCAGTGCCTGTGTTCCATGCTTCATAGAAAGTGTTCGATGAATTGAATTCATCTGATTTCCATCCCAGCATTTTTTCTTTCCTGCAGGCACATGCACACACACATGCACACACTCACACACACTCACCACTGGAGTAAGCTATTTGTCTTGGGCGGGGTATCCTAGATGCTGAGTCTGAGAGGGGGGTTTCTGTGTCAGGGAGTTACGGAAGGAGGGCTCCTAGGAGGAGCCTTAAGAAAGGGAGGAAAGCAGAACTCCGGGAAAGAAGCCAAGAAAAGACATGGCTTTCTCCAATGTCTCTGTTCCAACTGCCCTCCCCCAGAATCCTGGGGCAGGAAGAGCACCGCAGACTTGTCCCACGTTGGGGAAAGTGCTGGCCTTTTGTAACCTGCACCAATCCCTCCTGGCTGCAGGTCACCCTGGTGTGGGATGTGGCCTCTCCAGCATCTCCCTGCAAGAAAGAGTGCAGCTCTGAGCAACAGCAGCCCACACTCAGACAGAGGCAGAGGGAGGGGCTGTGGCAGCCCAAGAAGGAGACCTGGGAGGCACACTGACTGCAAAAGGTATAACACAGCAAATGCACTGCCAGATTCCTAGAGAATAAGAACTGGACAGAATGGGGTCAAGGGAAAGGTAGCAGGCTCCTAATCCAGTTGCCTTTCTCCCACCAGCCAAGCCAGAGCTGGGCCAGGCCTATTCCCAGCAAGATGGCACATGGTCATAACACAGAACTGGTTATGCTTGCGGGTGTTTGGGGATTCATAGTGAGCTTATTTAAAGAGTGACATAAAGCTTCAGGGAGTACTTTTACTCTATGCCACAAACAGAGCTGTTGTTTAGACACCACTGAATTCTGCCCTGTGTGGTGGGACCTGTGCGCTGCCCATGGGCAGCAGGGCATGGCACAGGGAAGACGCCCCACTCTGCCTGAAAACTTTGCGTATCTTCTGAGTGCCTCCTCAGGAGGTTTCAGCATCTGGCACCCCTTCTTATGATCAGCCTGTAGGAAGATTTCCTTCTCTCCAGCTGGAAGGTGGTGTTGTTCCACCCAGAAGCCAGGACGGGCAGAACAGCTGTATCAGGGGAGCACTTCAGCCCTGCAAAGACACAGTGAGCAGAGAACGTGTCATCTCAGCCCAGAAAGAAAAGGCAGAGCCGGTCAAAGCAGGCCTTGCCCAGAGAGAGGAGACACAGCCCCAGAGCCTGCAAGGTGACCTGGATACCTTGTACTTTGGCAAGGAGGGACAATGCCACAGTGACCTGATGCCCCAGTTCTCTGCCCAGGGGACTGACATCAGGGTGAGGTGCCACCTGCCTTGAGGTGGCTCTCCAATCTTCTTGTTGTTACTGTTGTTTCTTCATGTCTAAGCCAGAAATCCAGAATTTTATACCCCCTACCAAAGACTTTAGTGGGGGCCAGCATCCATCACCAAACCAGCAAAAGAAGCCGTCTGGGAAATTCTGCAGAAGCCTCTTCTAACCTGTACTCAGCCTCACTACTTTCCCTCCTGCTTCCTATCCCTGACTTTTCTTCCTGCCCTAATAGAGCAGCTGGTAGTTCTTCTTAGGGTGGAATTGGCCCAAGAAAATATCTCCCCTGATCAAGAAGAAAAAGTGGCCGCAACAGGTCCCAGAGAATCTGTCTCTATCTGGACACATTGGATGCCAGGGCAGAAAAGCCTGCACCAGACGCCACCAGCCTGGAGTCCCTGGTGGGTGTCCCCTCCTGTCCCCAGTAGACTACACTGGTGGCTCCCTGCTTACCAGGCTGGGGTTGTACATTGTCTTAATTTTCTGTATGAGCAACGTCCACATTGGTTCTTACCTGCATGGTGAGTACTGAGTTGGGGCAGTAAAGAAAGAGTGACATTTTACAATAGAGCTGGGAGCCCTCTCCTGCAGTGAAAAACTGCTAAAACTAGGCTTAGCCAGGAAGATGGGACTCCAGCACCAGGGAATGAAGGGAGATGTAGATGGGGGTGCTGTCAGGGTACAGAGCAGAGTCAAGCATATAGTCTGCCTGAACCAACTGGTTGGCCCTGGTCAGCCTCTTGTGCTAAAATCTGCCCTTATTACTTTTATGTTCGCCGTAACATCTCTCTCCACTCACCTTTGGGATGTTGCTCCTCGCACGGCAAACACACCATCAGCTCCGTACAGAAGCCTGCTCGGAAATACTGTTTTCTTCTCTCTTGAAAATTGCTACATACTGGAAATGCAAAAGCCTTGTGAATTCTGTGACAGGGTCAAACTGCCCATTCCCTGCCTCCGGAGCATGCCCACCCTGGAACTCAGGTGCCCTCCTGTGCCTCCAAGAGTCATGTGAACATGGAAGACAAGGCTTGGCCAGGGACCCCAATCCCTGCACACCTGAATCCATGCTGTGCCAGGTGCTCCGGTCCCCCTCCCTGACCCTGTGGTGCTCCTGCAGAGATAGATGTGGGGAGGACAAAGGCAGGCCAAAGCATGCTCTTAAAGTTTGTGCTGAAAACCCCAACATAGTCCTGGAGGGCAGCCTGGACACAAACGTCTCCTCTGGCCAAGACCAGAAGCAGGTGTCTTTTGTTCTTTCTTGTCTCCAGGTCTATACCCACTTGACCAGAGAGGGGAGGGGAGCCTCCTCAAAGCAGATTGAAAGCAGAAGCACTTCCTTCTCATGCCAGCACAGAGCCCCAACCAGGCAAGTATAGGTCAGGATGGCCCACCAGTAGGAGGGAGGACAGTCCTAGGCACAGAATCCCCAGAGAGAGGGATCAAACCTACAAGGTGGCCCCAGACCACCTTAGCCCCAAACCACCCTTAACCTTGGCCCATGGAAATCCAGCTTCTTTCCACTTACGCATGAGCTGAGGGAGGGAGTAATAGGCAGGGAAGCCCTGAAGCTTCCCCTGGGAGCTGACATTCCGGGCTAGATGTGGTCCCTCCACTGAGCAGCACTTCCCACATGAAGGAGTTAGGAAGCTGCCTGTGTTTCCAGGGCCCTTGGGGGCTCCAGCTCTCACCTGAGCTAAAACAGAATGGCAGGCCAAATTGCAATGCCGTGGGAGGCTTCAGACGGTGTTTCCTGCGGGTGTTATTTCCAGCCTAATGCTGTGTTCATATGGCTCCACCCGGTGATTACTGTGTTACAGTATATTAATCATAGGCTAACCAGACACTCCACCCCACTCCTCTCTCCGGGCTGTACGGGATCCCACCCAGATCCCACAGCATCACCAACTCTCCTGTATCTGCACCCCCAACCCACCCTCAGGGCCAGCCCTGGGCTCAGCCCCCTTGCCTGCAGATAAACTCAGAGGAGGTTATTTCTTGTGTCCACATCCAAGCTAACAACATCCAATGCCATGGTTTGGAGCCCACAAATCTTTGTGATGCATTAACCCCTCCTCTTCTCTCTCTGGTGACAAAAGTCTGGGAGGCAAAACAAAGTCCAGGAGGGAGGAAAGTGGTTCTGATGGTTTCTTGGGTCCAGGAGAATGAGATGGAGCTGATGGAGCTATGGCTCTCTGGGACCCGTGAACTCTCCCAAGTGCTGAGTGAACTTGACTTGTTCCTGGGGAATTGGTTCACTCGATTGCGTTTAAGTCTTTACAAGGCAAGTGCTATTTTAAGCCGAGTGAACAGGAAAGTTCCTAACTCCTGGAACTCCACTCCTGACAGAGGTACGGTGTCAGGCCTTGGGCTGCTGCAGGGAAAGATCTTGGTCCTCAACTATCTGGTGAGGACAGTTCAAACCAGTCACTTCAGGGTAGGGTCTGAGTCCTCAGTGGGTCACTGGCTTCAGTAAAAACAGAGAGAGGACTCAGAGAGAGAAGACTCAGTCCCTGACGCCAGGAACAGAGTGTAGCAGGAAAGAAGTATAAATGAATGCAGTGCCTTGCATCAGGACCAAGGAACCAGGGAACATGCCACTGAGCTGGGCCTGATGGCTCTCAGGACGATGTCGCTATGTGTATCTGTGCCTGTTTCAGGAGTCAAACCCCTCACCTGTGACATATACTTTGCCCTTATAGGCCTGTTCATTTTTTTAGAAGTCCTTCAATGGCCTGAGGTCATTTGTATGTGCTCACCCACAATATGAGCAGGACATAGAATATGCCCAGACTTGGGGTATTATGCCTTGGGCTTAATAATATTAGTGGGAACCATGATGAGAAAACAGAGGCTGGTGTGGTGATGATACTGAGGAACAAGAGGGCTTCCTAGGCAGGAGAACTGGTCACCTGGAGATGATGTGGGAATATGCTAAGCCCAAGCCACAACAATTTGTTTGCAAAATATGAGCACTACTAATAATTCATTCATCCTATGTATCTGTTTCCTCAGGTAGGTCTACCATGTGGTTCCTGGTGCTCCCAGGCCTCCTGGTGTTCACATGTTTCTATACAGTCCCCTTCCCTGGGGCTGACTTATGTTACTTACCAGTAGAATCCCATGGAAGTGATGATGTGTAACTTCCACCACTTTCTCACAGAGCCATTGTGCCTTGGCCTTCTGGATGACTCACTTGGGGAGAAGTCATTGCTGTGCCATGAGGACACACCAGCAGCCCTGGGGAGCTGAGGACTCCTGCCAAGCGCCAGCATCAACTGCCAGCCACGTGAGTGAACCTCCTTGGAAGCAGGTCCTCCAGCCTCAGCCAAGCCTTCAGATGATAACAGCCCAGGCTGACATCCAATTACAGTCCCATGAGAGACCCCAGGCCAGGAGAACCCAGCCAAGCCACTCCTGAATTCCTGACCCCTAGATATTGTGAGAGGTTAATGAATTGATATGGTTGCTTTAAACTGCTAAGTTTTGAGACAATATGCATTGCAGCAGAAATAGCCAACATATATCCCTAGCAATAATGTAGTTTCTAGAACACAGCAGGTGCTCAGGAAATGTTTAATGGATGAATGAATGAAGCTTCTAGAAGAAAGGCTACAAGTCAGACATGACTACTGATGAGAAAGAGGGAACGGGTGACCATGGCCAGGAGAGCTAACGTTCCAAACTTGGAAAGATAAAGTGTAGCCCAGAAACTTGAGAATTCAGGAAATGTCATTACACTTCATTTTCTTCAAATCTGCATAAATTGACCCCAAGTCATTATTACCCAAGATCCCTCTCTAACCCACCTCAACGTCACCCAAGGATCTGGGAAAATGTCCGCTGCGGGAAAAGAGCCTCTCCTCTCCAAATCTGTGATGGCCATTGATGATAGCTTCAAGGCTCACACACCATGATTCCTGAAAGCCAGGTTACACTACAGCCATCAGGACTATCTTGGGAGTCCCCGTGTCTACAATACAGTCTCTTAGACCCCCAGAAAAGCCATTCTCTTCTGAGGTCTCACACTCATTCAGTCATTCAACAAATATTTATCAGGTGCTCTATTAGTTAGGGTCCTCTAGATAGACAGAACAAGTAGGATATGTGTAAGAGAGGGTGAGGAGAGAGGGACTGATTTTAAGGAATTGGCTTATGTGTTTAGAGCTGGCAAGCCCAGAATCTGCAGCACAGGCCATCAGTCTGGAGACCCAGGGAAGGGCTGATGGTGCAGCTCAAGCCCAAAGGCCATCTGCCAGCAGAATTTTCTTTCCTTCAGGAGAGGTCAAGTCTTTTTTCACTTAAAGCCTTCAACTGATTAGATGAGACCCAGCCACATTACTGAGGGCAATCTGCTTTACTCAAATTCTACTGATTTAAATGATAATCTCAACTAAAAGGTACCTTCACAGTAACATCCAGATTCGTGTTTGGCCCTGCTCCCAGGCCCCAGCCCCTCCACCCCCTCCCCACCACGGCCATCACTCCTCAGAAGTTCCCCTTCCACCTCCCCCAACCCAATTCCTCCAAGGAGCCCAGACTTAGAAAACAAAAGCCAGAAGGAAGAGTGTTTGTGAGGAACTTCTCTTTTGGCGACACACATCTCATCTGCGTAAGCAAGAGAACACAGAAGACCTGGCTGCTTTCTTGGAAAAGGGTGCGGTGGGGAAAATATAAATAGACCAAAAATTAATTTCTCAAAAATTCAAACAGCCACAGAAATAGCAGCTGCTCCCCACATCCCACTCCCAGCCGGGCTCTTGAGGTAGGATTGGGGGTGAGGAGAGGGATGAAGGGAGAAGCAGCAGGAAATCTCCAATTCTTAGAACCCTCTGATTCAGGAGAACTCACTAATTTCCTGACAAAAACAAAAGAAATTCTCCCCCCAAGCTGTCAGACTTCCTCTTCCCAATACATCCAACTTTCCGTGGGAAAGGCAAAAGGAAGTCTCTCTACTCACACCCGCTCAGAGACGGGAGCCCAGCACTCCCTCGAGAGAAAGCTACCACACCAATCTGCAGCCAGATCATGGGAGCCACCCCAGAGAGATCGGAGGCCGTGATGGCTGCACCCAGAGAGGGGGAGACAGAAAGGGGCACTGGCCTCCTGTGACTGAGCTTCTGTGGACTTGAAGCAGGAAAGCTGGAGGGGGAAGAAGTAAGCCCACACCCAGTCCTCTCCTTAAGGACTGGGAGCTTAAACCAGACCTGCTGCAGGAGAGGGTGGGCATGGCTCCAGGCCAGAGAGACAAGAAGAGACCTGCTTCTGACCCTCACCTTTCCCTCCCTCCCCCTCTCATGCTCCACACACACAACACCCTCAGAGAAGATGGTATCTGTGAAATTGAAATCAATTCAGCCCAACAAACCGGTGTGCATTAAATGTTCTTCTCCGTGATAGATGCTCTGCCACGTGCTGGGAATGCCAAGAGAAATAAAATGCAGCCCTGCCCTCTGGAAGCTGATTCAAGGTTACGGCATGATCTCTGGTATACCACTCATACGAATAGTACAATAAGGGCACAGAAGAGGAAAAGCTTAATTCAGCCCAGTGGCTGGCGGGGAAGGAAGCTTTGTCAGAGAAAAGAGCCGGAACCTCATCCCACAGGCAGTTTTTAAACTTCGGTGTTCTTAAACAGGAACATGTGCCTGTGAACTCTTTGGGAAAGATAACCCAGGTATCAGCAGGGGATGGGTTGGGGTGAGTTGGACACAGATTGCTTGTGAAGAGAAAATATGAGCAACTGCAGGAGTCCAGGTCAGTGGTCCAGGTTTGACGTGTTGCCAGCCCCTTTGAAGGCAAGGGCAGTGAGGACAGGGAAGAGAGGGCAGATCAGAGGGAGGTTTTAGGCAGATACCAAGGCCTGGGGTACGGCTGGATGGGGTGGATGGTGGATGCAGGGACAGATCGCCCCCAGGTTTCTAACTTGGAGGAGAAAGGGTCCTAATGCAAGCCCCAGGAAGGCAGGGCAGGGTCTGGCTCATCCTAGCCTTAGTACAGTGACTGATGCTTAGAAGGTATGGGATCACGCATGTGGGCAGAATGGGCAGAAGAATAAACACACAGCGATAGAAGAGGAAACGTGTGGTAAGCTCTCCCGGTGCCTTGCAGGAACAGCTGCATTTCACCAAAGGGCACATCACACGCAGCATCCTGGAGGGAGAGGTTTCTTGCTGGGGGGACCTGGCACTTACTCCTGCTCTGTCTGGCTTTGAGGTTAAATGAAAAGCTTGGACCCAGTGGTGAGTGAGAACCGCAAATCCTAGAACGGAATGGGAGCCATTAGAAGGCAGCAGGCACAGCGACGGCAGTGGAACCAGCAAGAAGACAGTGAAAGGACTGAAATCTATTAACGGCAAGAAACCCATCACTGGGTCTGAGGCCAGGAAAAGGGATTTGCAGAGAAAATTCTATTTAGGGTGTATTTCCCTCTTATCGCAGTAAACGGGCTGCTAAAATGTATTGCTCTGTATTAAAAACATGCTGTCCTTTTAGAATGTCACAGACACCGGTGCATTCTATCTGCTGTGTGTACATAAAGAGAGAAACGGATCCACGGCTCCCATTCATAAACGCAGGGCCTCACGTGTGCGCATCAAGGTGGCAGCCGGGCCGCCTCCACAGCAGACACCTCTTCTCAAGGTAGGGCTGACACTCCACTTAGGGATTACCCTGCAGCCTGTGCATCTGCATAAACTCCACCCCTTCCTTTTTAAAACAGTTTTTATTTATTTTAAAATTGCTATATGGCAAAATTAGCTTTTTTTCTGTTGGTCTATAGCCCTACAGACCACGTGGATTTCTCCCCGTGTGTAGAGTCATGTGGCTACCACCCAATCAGGACATGTAATAGTTCCATTACCCAAAACACTCCTTCACACTGCCGCTTTACCCTCCAACGCTCACTCAATCATAGCCCCTACAACCACTGGCTGTTTTCTATCACTATAATTTTGTCTTTTCTAATATAGCAAATAAATGGAACCTCAGAGTACACAACCTTTTGAGACTGGCTTCTTTCACTCAGCGCAGTGAGATCTGCCCAAGCCATTGCCTACCCAAGCCTCTCTTCGTAGCGCATTCTTTTTTCCCTGGAGCTGTGTCCCATGGCGTGGGTGGGCTACAGTTTGCACCGGTGCTCTTTGGGTCTACTTCGTAAAAGCTCAGCACCTTTCTCACAGGGCGGGCCAAGAAAGAAAGAAGGGAAGACACCGTGCGACCGTCCCTCTTCTTCATTATGTAAGAGTGGATTGAGTGTCCTCCGTATTTTCACTTTACGTGACTGGGATGTGTGAGAACAAAGCAGGCTGCGGTTCTTGCCCGCATGGGCTTCTGTTCTTGCGGGAGGAGACGGAGTTGGGGGTGGTGAATGACGCACAGACTAAGTAAGTGGTGTGGTGTGTCCGGCGGCGGGGGCCTACGGGGAAAACAGAGAAGGGGAGAGGAGTCAGAAGTGTGTGCAGGAGGCTGTAGCTGTAAACGGAGGGGGCCGGAGTCAGAGATGCCTCTTTGAGAAGGGGACCTTCGTGCAAAGACTTGAAGGGTGTCAGCCTCCCTGCACCCCGCGGAACGGAAGCCTGCCTGGCGGGGGAAGCACTGGAAGGGAAAGGCTGGACAGACTTGGCCAGAGAGAAGTCAACTAAATAAGGTGCACTTGGGGGCAGAAGGTGTTTCTCCAAGCCCGGCGCTCGGCCACCCAGTGCTGCCCCGGTGCCTTCTGGCTGCGACATCTCAGAGCACCCAGGACTACGGCCTCTGACTGCTCTCAGTAGCCATGCCCGGGAGAGGTCCTGGAAGCCGGATCAGGCAGATGCACAGTGGACAGCCCGCCGCAAGCCTCCCCAGCCTCTGGGGAGCTGTGATGCCCTCGCAGCCTCACCAGCCCAGGACTCCAGGCCCTGACTCAATGACTTCATTCTCCTCCTAGGTAATTGGCATTCTAGTCAAACTCTGCCAGCAGCAGCCTGAGCTGCTGAGGGGACCATGGAGAAAATACCAGGGCTCCGGCACAGCCTTAGTCCTGGGGCACAGCCTCAAGGGGCTCAGGGGATAGGGATGGGAGTCCCCACAAGGGCTCCCATCAAGCGCTTCTCCTAGAAGCAGCAGAAGGGCACTAATCCATGTTCTTCCCACTGGCTAGGGTTCCAAATCTCATTAGCATTTACCAAAGTGGAATTAATCTTCCCTTGGTAATCTGGTCGTTATTGATTTTTATTTTTAACTCTTGTCTTATGAAGACAAATAAAGTGCCTTCGGCAGCACAGATGTTCCCAAGGGTGCAAAGGAAGCAGAGGCCGGGGAAACGGGCCTTCAGACAGGCTCAAAGAATCTCTCATGGCTCCATCAGCAGGTTCTGGAGCGAGACAGGAAATCAGATGTGTCCCAGTCTTCCAGCTATCATAAACAGGGAGGACCCCCAAAGAGGACAGAGAGGCCCGAACCTCCAGCGCCCCAATTAGGCCCATCTGCAGCTGACAGAGACAGCTCTGATTCATCTTAATCACATGCAAGTTAAAAATAAACATCAATAACCAGAGGCATGAAGAAAAGAGGTGACATTTTGAGATGCAAATGAAGTGGGAAGTCCCAAAGCCAGGCAAGGAGAGTCCCAGCCCCCTGAGTCTCCGAGCACACATGGTCGGCAGACATTTGGAGACCCCCAAACCCATAGCCACCCCTATCTCCACACCTCTTAGGACCAGGTACAGAATGTCAGCTGCTAGTTTGTCATTGTCAGAACTGTGATAGCTTCACACACATGACACCTTCACAGCAGCAGCAGTGGTGAACAGACAGGCCTGGACCTTGGCGGTAGAAGAGGTGGGCTGACACCCAAGCTCGTTGGCTCACCCCCACTGCACCTCAGTTCCAAGAAAGAGGTGATTCGGCACAGCACCTGAAGAGGCCTGGTGTGTGGGGCACTCAGAGAGTAGGTAACTGGTACTGCATTTTCTGCTTCCCTCAGAAGCAAAATCCAGTGGTTAGAGGAATTGGTTTAAATTGCAAAAATAAAAATCTTGATTAAACACCAAGCATGAGAACTTTCTCATACTAAATCAGGCACCAAGGATTCTACAGGAATATGTGAGGCCCTTGGAATATATATGAAATAATAAATTTCCAACTCCCTCCCACACAGAGCTTAAAAATCTCACAAGGGCATTTATAAACAGTCCATGGAGCATGAGGGGCATCAGAAGCTGCTGGAGACTGTGTTATCTACCTCCAAGTACATCTCTCTGTCTAGCTTCCAGCCCTTCCTGCCCAGAATTGAAGGCAAGATGGGGGGAAGCACCTGCCTCTCTTAGGATACCGTTTAATTCCCACAGCTGCTCCACAACAATCAGTATTCTCAGATGAACCAGTGGGGCTCAGTGAGCTGGGTGATTTGTGCAAGATGGGGAGCTGTTGGGGATTCTCACTGGCATCTGACAGCCCAGAGTCCGTTTCGGCTCTTCCTTCCCAGGCTTGCTATCAGGAGGAGCTTCAGCCCGAGCCCAAGCCCAGGGGCCTCTCAGCCCAAGAGTCTGGGATTCCCTAATTCACTGCATGGCATCTCTTGACTATGCCCTCGCTGTAGCTTCTCTGAGGTCCCACAGCTCAGCCTCTTTCCGCACGCACGCCCTCAGCTTGCAGCTTGCTCTTCTCTGTTCAGCTCTTGAGCCTAAGGGCCTGGCTGGCTCCCTGGTGCTGTCATTGCAGCCAGCTCATGGCAGGGTGGCCGGGCTGGGCCAGGCTCAACCCACTGCCCCACTGCCCACCTCTGTGGTGGGCCAGGTCACCCCGACACAAGGGAGACAAGGCTAGAAACATTTACCTACTGAAAAATTATCATCCTCCTTTTCCTGGTGTGGGGGGATCAGCTGCAGCATCAGCTGATGAGGAAGGCCACATGCACACCCAGTCAAAACAGTTCTGTAAAACAGGCTTTGACAAAATTGTCACATTAGATGTATCTGAATAAAGTCAGCCGGGCGGCTGGCAGAGCACAGTTCTACATCATTTTGACCGCCTGCATTACAAAGCTGCAGGCACCACCAGGAAATTACCTCCAAGCTAAGCCCAAATTATAGCCAGTGCAGCATGGTCAACCCTTCGCAGGATGAGAGGAGACCAGGGAAAAGGCTTGGAGGGCTGAGAATGAACATTTTCCTCTCCTCTTCTCTCCTCCCTCAATGAGGAGACAGAGAGAAGCAAAATGGGTGTTCACACAGTCTGTGGTGGGGAGTGTTCCCCTTCCCCCTAGGTGGGAACCCAGGGCTTGCATTTCTGTCTCGTCTTCCCATTTAGTGGCCTGGGAAATGCCCCAGGCAGGGAGGCTTCTGCTTCTCGTGAGCATGTCCACCTTGGGTGATTTACCTCCCCTCCCTGGCTCTTCATTTTCTTTCCTGGTGGGGGGCGGGGGTGGGGTGGGAGGAAAGGACTAGCATCAATGTTTTCAAAACTGTGCTCCTTAGATTTGCAGAAGGTGTCCCAGAGGTGACCTGACGGGAGGGTGGGGTGGAGAAGCAGAGTGTTTTACACCCTCAATTGCAGATGAGCTAGAATGTGCTCTTTCCATCTGTTACAGCTATGGAGGCTCCAGGGAAGGAAGGGTTCTGCTGCTAATTTCTTTTTTCCAAAGGAAAAAAGGAAGAGGGGAAGGCCGGAAGGAAGAAGGGAGGGAGGAAACCACTAGACTCCTAATTGCTCCCGTAGTCTGTGGAAAGAGTTCCCTATTCCAGTGCTCAGGGTGGGCCTTTCCAGAAGCAATCATCCTCATAGCCTTCATGGCAAGTGCGGAAACTCCACTGTGCATCTGTGCATCCTGCATCTCAGACAAGCCGATCTGACCGCCAAGCCCTTCACCCCTGGATGGGGAGGAGCAGTCTTGAGAGCTGTGACCTCAGGCCTAAGTTCATTTCAGCCCCCAATAAAGCCAGGAAGATGAGAGGAGTCTGAGCTCCATGGGTCTCCACTCCCATCCCAAAGAGTGTCACCAATGCATTGACAGGGCAGCCTCATCGGGACAGGCTGGGGGCATTCAAAAGGGCATGAGGACTTTGAATATTCATGATGCTAATTAAGCAACAGCTAATTGGAAAATGTTGGAGTTTATTAAGACCCCAGATTTATATCATTGCAACAGGCACCAACATAATAACAATCATCTAATGGGCACTTTGGGTTCTTTCCAGAGTTTCTTTCCTCTCTTGCTGGCTGTTAATGTGCAGGGAGAGCAAGCCAGTGAATAGATGCTCTGTTGCTGGTTTGTGCAGCCCAGAAGGAAGAGACTGGACTGGATGGTCTGTCCTGGCTCCTTCCGCATCACCAGGAGTGGAGCTGCCGAAGAGAGAGCTGGGAGACATTTTGTCTTTTCTGCACTTCAGGATTTCTGAGACCGGGGAGGCAGGGAGCAAACCAGAAAGAGGATGTTTGCCAGCCACAGAGGTGGAGGGAGGCGTCACCCTAGCCTAATACCTTGCCCTCGGTGGACAGTTGAACACTAGTGGTAACTGCAGGGACCAAAGGGCCTTAGGCGGGAAACACCGCAGACGCCTACAACCTCCTGGTGTGTTCTTTGCGGAGCTCGGAACCGGCTCTTCTCCATCCTGGGAGAGCGCTTCACAAGGTCCACATCAACCTGAAGCACGGAAGAATGCTCAGAAGTTGGAGGAAACTCCACCCTACTGGTTCAATTTTCCTGTCATGCAGAGAGAAAGAAGCATCACCTTTAAAGGAAAGAGTATAGTAAAAGATGACTTGGATCCTTTGAAAAATGTCTGCTATGTTACTGTTGTTACCTTAGAAGACAAAATACAATCACACCTTCTTCACTTTGAGATTTGCTAAAATGGGAGCAGGTGCGAAATGAACAGAGCGGGGCATCTGTGAGCCCCTTCAGAGTGACTATCTCTGTTATTTATATCTGAGCTCAAACGTACTCCAAGTTAACAGTCCCACCTTTATCATAGAAATAACAAAGACGGAAGAGTAGTAAATGTCTATTTAGAAAATAAAAACTGAGCATTTGAATCGGGAGAAATGCCCATAAGGACCCCCTGATGAATGGTGTGTTTGATTAATCCTCCCGCTTTGCAGAATGGCTGTGGTCATCAGCAACAGGCAGCTACGACCGCTCTCCTCACACCTAAGACCTAGCAAGTGCGCCGAGGACCAGGGTGGTCATTCCAGCTCTACCACCAACGCCAGGCAGACCTGCCACCACCACACTGCTCTGCCCGGCCCAGCCACAGGCCCTTTTGAGTGGGCTCGTGGCAGCTAAGTCCTCTCAAGGCTGGGAGGTTTCCTCGGGGGAGCAAGGCAGGACTGAAACCCTACACCTAGTGCAGGTGAAGGAAGGCCGTGTCCATACTCAACATTTCTGAGGGTGCCTGTGAGGGTATTTCTGGATGGGATTCGCATTTGAATCAGTGGATGCAGTAGACTGACCTCCAGCGGAAGGGCCTCTTCCAGTCCATTGAGGGCCTGGGTCAAAGGTACAGGCAGCAGAGGAGGGTTCTTCCTTCCTGCCTGCCTGCTTGGGATGTCTCCTTGCATCTTCCCCAGCTCCCCTGGTCCGCAGGCATCTGCATTCAAACTGGGACTACACCAGCGATGAGAGGCTCAGCACAAATCTCCATGTATGTATAAATAAACATACACATACACTAGCCTGTTGGTTTATTTCTCTGAAGCACTCTGACTGATAGACTCTCACACCCCTAATATTCAAAACCCCAAGAATAATCCACTGAACTGACCCAACAAGTCTCCCCTCAGTCTGAGCCTCAGTTTCCCTGTCTAAAGGAGGAGGAGTGAGTAGTGACTGTGGTCGTGGGGAAGCATCTGGACACCTTTATGTGTAGTATCCTGGTCAGAACTCTCCACAGGGGATGATGGTGGTGCATATGTTCCTCAGCTGGACTGTGGTGGTCATTACACAATGCATATCTTGTCAAAGCATCATGGCATGCAGCGTAAATAGATATAACTTTTATTTGCCAATTATACTTTAATAA